GGGGGGGGGGGAGAACCAGTCCTAATGGATACGGGACTTCCCTCTTGCACGAAGAACATGAGTCATCGTGAAGCTTCGGTCAATCTGACCAATCAAACTGAATCAGCTGCTCCGCCGAGGAGCGTCGGGGGTCTTGGAGATATTGATATTCGTAAAGACAGCGGTTGAGTAAACGACGAGAAGAGGGTACGAAGATCAAAGCATATATGGTCCATATGTCGAGTGAATCTGACGTGGGAGGACGCGAGAATTGTATTACGAAGTGATTGAGCTATCGGATGAGCGAAACGTCGAGCGATGATGAAGAAACTGAAGATGGTCCATAGAGGGAGGGGAGACATTCTCAGCGAAAGGGTGCAGCATCCCAGCACACATGACACAGGCTACCATAGCAACGTCTCTCGCGCGTCTTATTCGTCAATTCCTATACATTTTTTTTATTGCTACGACTCATCTCTACACTTGCCGATTAATCTCGTTACAGAATCAAGAATCGATAGGGACGTTTAAAGATGGTGAAAAAACAAAATGTCCGATCGATCGGACAGATAAATCTGTGATTTACCCATTTTTCACGATGAGTCTGATAGATCTGTGGGAGATATAAAAAAAATTTTAAATAAATAGTCTTGTCCGAGCAAAAGCACTGGTCAAAGATTCCACAGGTGTTTGGCCGGTGGTAGCGATACCGCAGTGACATTAAGGTGCACGCACAATGAAAAACAGTTATTAAGAGCGAACACGTGCGTGGATACCTATTCGGGTGTACGTACGTAACGTCCGTGTAATTAATCGCGAGCGCGATTAACGATCGTCGATATTTATTTTGATCGGTTAAAAAACGATCTTGGCATGTATATAATTCAATTGTTTACCTAGTCTCACGTTAAAGTGCCAATCCTCGTGATTGGCCAATCAGCTCGTCGCTTCGCTTTGAGTTGAAAGATCAGAGACGAGTTCATCGCCACGCTGCTTCCAGCCGAGCAGTAATTATAGAGCCACGTGGAAAGTGCAGTGGGCCAGCAAGCGTGCCTTTAAAGTGCAGCCAATGAGTTCCCACGATAAATATTTATTCGGCTAATTTTAACCAAACGGATTCAGCCGCTAGAGGTATTTTTCGTACAAGGAAAGAGAAACCGGCCGCGGGTATTGTGCCCGTCCGTGTGGCATGAGCGGAATATTAATCAACAGAGCAAGTGGCTCCGTGGGTTACGATCGATCCAGTGTACACTCCTTCGATCGTTATTTAAAAGGAAGACAAAATTGTTTCATTTATTTATTTACCAAGAAATCATTTCGATCTACGAGCCAGATGCCTGTCGGTCCTGACTTCCGCTCGAGAGTGTAACGACACTGGTCAAGGTACAAAGAAACGACTCACTGCGCTCGGTCGTTGCCAAACAAAGAATATTGTTCTAATTCACCTTCCTTTTTCTACCATACATTCTCCTCTCCGTTATACCGAACTGGCAGCGGTGTTTTGGCGCTGTCGCTACGGCGGCCATTGTTGTTAGGTTGTTACGCACGGTTTGCTTGTTGCTCAACGCAAAGTCAGGAACGTCCGGGCGTGAACGTTTGTATAGAAATTGTCGTTACGTAAAGGAAAGTAATCTCTTCCAGGGCCTCTGGACGCAGCTGCGCCAGAAGCCTACGGCTGTTGTGTCTTCGCCCATTCCCATTGCGATTAAGGCCGCTGCACGGTGTGTGTATATATATTGCACGGAGGAGCCCGTCGGGTTTCGTTGCTTGTGATTTGAATTTCAGCGGGAAATACGACTCGTGTTATTCACTTGGTTCAATTCGCAGGATCGTTTGCTTGACTCAGCGAACGATCGAGTTTATCGTGATTTTCGAAAGAAAAACACGCTGATCTCGCAACAGCGTGAAATATTAAGAAAGGAGTTTTCGGTGAGCTTTAATATCCCCCGAGTCTGACTCTTTCGAAAGGTACACTCCTTCCCGAAAGTATTCAGGAGTCGCTTGACAGACGATCGTGTCCGTTAAACATTTTCGCCACGGGACAGTCAATGTAAACGATGGAATCATGGGTACTCGTAACCAGTGTTATCGAAACCTTCTATTTCGACTGACAGGGCTGTATTTCACAAGTGGATTCTCCGAGAGAGCGATTGGTATTCTGGTTAAGATTATTTTTCAATTTTAACCTCAGTCCTAGCGTATCGTAAACTTTACTTAAAGTTACTTGGCATCTTTTCTCTCTCAACCGCTACGTAGGACATGTTTTCCATCCTTTATATTCTTTAGTCTATGACAAGTTGGAAGCCGAGTTCAAGGCAGCGTCCATGTTGCAAAGCAAAAAAAATACGATCGTGTTGAATCATTAATGAGCGTACCTCGAGCCCTTTATTATTCCTAATAATCAAAGAGTCCCATTAAATAAATAAAAAATATCCAATAGACACTTCGCGTGGTAACGATAACGATGTACAAACAGTGTTAAACCTCTCGTTCACTTAACCACCGCACGCCGTAGGTATACCTATAACCCACGGACAATCCTCTAAAAGCAAACGTAAGAAAACAAGTAAAAGACGTTCCAAGTAATAAAAAAAAAAGTGCAAACGTGCCAACATAACAACGTAAGTAGAATAGACTTCGTAGAAAAAGCATCATCGGTGAATTTCAAAATAATAAAAATATGACCTGACCATAAAAATCCCTCTACGCAGCGGACAGAGCCTACAGAGGTCACTCGGTGAATAACAGAAAACAACATATGTAGGTAGTTGGGTTAAAGTAACGCGGCGGAAATAGAAGAAGAAGAGACAAAGATTCCGAAAGAAAATAGATAACGAGCGACGGTTGAAAATCTTTCTGCGTCGCAATCGCCATCTCTCGTGAGAATTGGACACTAATTGTCCTGGCTTTTTCTCTAAGACCTTCCCGTTCTATACACATATCGTTGCTTGCTACCCAAGCTGTATTTTCTCGATGCTTATCATACCCACTCCCCCATTAACATTATTTTCAATATTTGGTCACCGCCTACCCGACGACCATTGTTTGCTGCACGATCGTTTCCATCGGGCGACGTCGCGCCCTGAGACCCGTGTCTGTCCACCCCAGACACGCCTACTCGACCTATGCGTTCCACGAAGTACTTTTGCGATTTGAAGTTACCGCTTCGCTCAAGACGGTTAGAAGCTGCTGCTGCTTTATATATGCATTTTTATTATTGGATGCATATCGGCGTTTTTTTAGCTGTGTGCAGTCATTGACTTCGTGACTTCTGTGTGATAATAAAATAATGTTACTTCTATGAATATTTTCTGATCGGGTTTAACGATTTATTGACAGTAATAACGTCATTATTTATCAGTGATGTTGCAATTACGTAGATAGATTTTTTTTCATAATTCAATACTCAGATAAAGCATTGTGACGCGATGGATATGCGAATTTTTATTCATTGACGTATTTTCAATGTATCAATAATGCAAGTGATATCAAGTTACGAAATTATTGGTATCGTAATTATGTGTAATGTGTATTTACAACTCGTACGGTATGTCGCGAGTGCGATAATCATACGTTTTTCGGAATAGGCATAAAAAAATGCGTAATGTGATCGTACGATAAGAGAAATATACGTCACAGTAAAAACCGACGCGTATAACATAAAAACAGGACCCGTCGATTAATTAAATGCGATAATAAATTAACTATCACAGAATGAGGCTGGTACCAGTAGTTACGAGAACAATGAGAAATCATCGGTCAACGACAATGAAATATCAAAATGCACTAAATTTACGTGATGCCAAATTAATAAATTTCATTATTATTTTCAGAGGTCGAAAAGTCCATTTCAAAATTTTCCGCTCCTCGAGTACGAATTACTTCCGTTTGCCTAACCTGTCAATTACGAAAGCAAGGAACCGCGACCGTTACGGATCTCAAATACTACTGTCAGATTTTCCCGAGCCAAATAAATTTGTCCAAATAAATTATTGTGAAGCGATACGCGAAGTGCATCGGCAATATTTAAATCGCATTAAATATTTCAAAAGGAGTTCCTTTCCCGCCGAGTCAAGTAAACCGTAGCGGCGACTACGTGAGTCAAAGCGTCAGGGCATACCTATATACCAGTCTGCTGGAGGACGCGTCGCTGTTCGGCACAAAATGGCAAACGTCGATCGACCTAAGACTTTTCATTGTTGGTTTGGCCTTTAAGACCGTGAGTGACAGTTGAAGTTAACGGCGTGTTTCTATGCGTGTAACGGATGCGGCGGCAGACGCGGGCGACAGTCTTGAAATTTCACGAGAAGACAAGAGGGCCAGTGGGTCAGGTCCGGCGAGCGTTGGTACCCTTGGCCGACGGCCATCTTTCTTGGCCGCTTAAAAAAGCGTCTCCGCATCGAGCTGTCTAGACTGGATGGCGGTGGTCCTGACTATTCTAATTGATTTATTAGAACCAATGGATTCTTTGTTGATATCGACTCGGTGTCATTACGGGTTGTACGTCTTGGTAGAATTAACACTCCCGTCGCCGGTTTAACCTTATGGTGCACCCTTGTCGTTACAAAAGTTTTATACCGACGGCGTATGTTGAGGATCGAAAAAACTAAGCATGGAACTATATAGGTATAATAAGTTATTGGCAATGCAAACGAATTCGTATTATATCAAGAGACCGATTACCGAATGTCAATCAAGATAAGCGCATCGGTTGCATCTCGTGTTTTGCAGGGAATTCTGCACGACTGGGAAATCACACGCTTAGTCATGTAACTTCTTATTGTACTAGTCGTAGGACGCATCGAGCGTTGCACCTGAACGGGAAACCTTTCCAGGTCAGATCATTTGTTACTCGACCTGTTCGCAACTGTAAACGTGGACCGCAACACTGGTGCATGTGCAATTAGCACCGACCATTTCAGGCGGATATGCGCAGCGTGTGCAAATTGTCTGTACAAGGTAAGTACATAAGAAACTTGTTTCTATAGTCACTTGTTTCCCTTAATTTTCTCAAAAGGAAAAATCATTTTTTAATGGAACACAGTTCGTAATGCTCAATACAACTGATTGATAATTCTGAGTTTGAAAAAAAAAAATTTCTCTTTAGGCTAATTTAAAAAAAAATGGATTATCGAACGCTTTTAATCAATTTTCAAATTAACGAAAAGGTCGATATTCAATGTAACGACTCAATCGCTGGAAGACGTTGATGCCTCTTTGGGAATTCCTTGGGATTGGCATTTTCCGTTACATAACTATCAACCAGGCGTACGAGTCATGTAAATTTCAGGAAAGCATCGACGAAACGTGTTTACGAACGGAGTTTCCTCGATGCGGGTTCGAGACGCATAAATTGTTCGACCTTACGAGCTTAAGGTATTCCGAAGTGCACTGTTTCTTTTTTGACAAAAATTACACTCTTTTAATTCGATTTTAATCAGACTAATGTTTAACCGTACCGAGAGAATGTCAGTCGTTTTCTCAATAGCGAAATTCATTAAAACATTCTCTTTGTTATGGACAGATACGAGAACCTCTAATAATAGACCAATAATAATGCTTGAGATAAGTTTCGATGAAAAACTTCCTTCTTTTTTGGCAGTTAGTAATTTCTACGCTTCAACATTTAACTGAAGGTTTTTCATTCTGAATAGTGAATCATCATTTGGCAGATAAAAATAGTGGTGTGGCAGATATGAAAGATAATGTTGAACCATTCAAAAATTACTTTTGAATGAAGAAAAAAAAGTAATATGCTCATGACCATTTAGACGTATGCACGTGCACGCGAAATTTCATTGAAAACGAAGTTGCAGCTCCAATATCTCCTCTTGGGTTCGCAGTCAACATACATATGTATATAAGTCATCTCGAGTCTTCGCACGAGGCTTTCAAATGACATAAATCGCTAACCAGCCTGCATAATAACATTCACATGTGATTTACAGGGACATGACTTTACACGCAAGTAGCAATGATTATTTCCTCTTTGATTTCAGAATTTCGTAACATTTTACTAACAATAAGTAAAATTCCTACAGACTCCTTAAAGATTAACGAGCTCACTCTGTACGAGCCGATAATATTTATCAAAGCGTCAAACGTAAATTAATTCAGATAACCATTTTAATTTTCTTCTATACATACCTAGAATTTAAAAAATTGACAAAAGTAATTTCCTTATGGTAACGCAGGATAAAGATGTAAACGAAGTTGTAGGAACCGTGAAGAATGTTTACGTTATGGCAAAAAGCATTATCGAACGTGTCAATAATTAAATGGACCGAACATACACAGAAGTTCATAAGAAAATATTTGTCTTTGGTAAGAACAACGGTTGACAGGTATATTTTAAATCATTCAAGAATCCTGATTGCGACGGATATTGGATCGAGTGACAAAGCCAAAAACACAGTCAAAGCGTGAAAATCAAAATTAATGGAATGTAAAAGAAAGAGTATTAAACAATAAAAAATCTTTTATCCAGCTATTGTCAAAAATTTGAATTCAACAACGGATTCCAATGCAAGATGGAGGGGCATCATCCTTATCGTGTTAATCGCTGTCTTCTATTACAAATATATTCTTTAAAAAATAAATTCTACCAGAGTCAACAAACTAACGAATAACATTCTTATTACATGTGTACTCACCGTCAACAGAGATATTCCAGTCGTTGCACTAGCATTGAGTACACAAATCACGAATTCACAGAGGACACGGATAAAAAACTCCACGTGTAACAGGAGATTCGAATATAGCAATATCGACGTTTGCCAGGAACCAAGAGACGGACGCTTCGAGGAGTCAGAATTCCTCAGAGAATTCTGCTCCGAGTATCGTCTGCGAGCATCGACTTTTCAGTATTATATTTATCAACTGAGAAATGACGATGTGCCAAGTACTCATCCACGGTTCGGTATCCCAGTATCTCTTCTCTTTTCCCTGTTGCTTTCTTTCTGCCTATCTTATCCGACAAGCAAGAGAACGCGTGAGAAAGAAAGAGAAATAAATCAGGAGGCTCGGTCAGCTGCCTATAGCAGGTAAACTGCAGCTGAAGTGCACTCGAACCCGTGTGTATCTCGCGTGCTCTCGCTTCCACGTCTCTCTTAGTACTGCCGGTACCGGCCAGTACACTGCTGAGCACTTCTGAGCACGCTGAGCACTCCGAACACTACTGAGAGAGAAGCCTGAATTAACGGCGAGGCAAACGCGTCCGCCACTCCAATCCAACCGGCTGACTTGGTTCGCATCGGCGCTGCCACTGCCTCTTCCCGTCTCCGTCGCCATCGCCGTCCTGGCCCATTCCCCAGCTGGCACCAGCTAATATTCTTCCACAATGCCTACCAGCTTGTAGCCATTCGCCCACGAACCACCACGCGACTTGCATCGAACTTTCGGCCTTTCCAGACGCAAGGATTCAGGGCTCACGATTCACCAACCCGACTATGCTCCTGCGCATGCGCACTCACGAACTGGCAACGATGCCTGCAATCGACACTTTTGCTTCCCTTCTGTCCTATTCTTACTCTTTCTCTCTTCTTCTCTTTAACTTTTCATCTCTCTCTCTCTCTCTCTCTCTCTCTCTCTCTCTCTCTCTCTCTCTCTCTCTCTCTCTCTCTCTGCACCTCTGCACCATGCAAGCACTGCGATGCTTCTTCACCCTAAGGCGCAGACTTTTGATCGCCCTGTCTGCCGAATGCATGCCTGCCTGTCCCTACCTGAATAAATGCCCGTCTTGTCCGCTTAAACACCGGTTTTTCTTGCTTCAATCTTCGTAACAGGCTCCGCAATCATCTCTGCTCCACATGATTCCTCTTATCGATTAGAATTTCTAACTATGCATGTTTCTCCTTGGTTATAATGCATGGGAATAATGCGCCAATTTTTCAATGGCATGCATACTGTTACGTTCTTGGTAATTGAGGTGCTCAACTTTACCGTATACCGACCATCTATACTTTCCTTACTCGATTATCCCGTGAATTGGAAGCAATGCTTTTTTAATTAATGCCGATCAAGACTAAATTACACCGAAGACTGGATATTTACTGCGTCAACGGTTGCGCAATTTTTTCTCCGTTGTTTTCTAAAATCCTAAATTAGACCTTTTCAATTATTCTCACCTTGACCGTCATTAATTAAATGGTGTATGGGTATCACCAGATCCTGTCTATGACATTGGAAGGTAACCAGGGACGATTCATCTTTATATAATCATTTGTTCTGCCTAAAAATCATTTTTTTTAGTCATTACCCTCAGGTAGCTTACGCCAGTAATGATATCCTGATTATTATGAATTTTGTCATTGTTTACACCCTTTATCCTATATACACGCCATATAGTCATTAGTACATCCTCTTTTAGCAGACAATGAGTGTCAAAAAATAAAGTTGGCAAAAAATTGCATTGGAATTATCAATCACTGATTGGCAGTCAATGAGTAAGCCTAAAACTGTAAATGGCAACGGGTGAAATATTCTTATATCTAAAAATACAGTCATAATATAAATCACAAGTCTCAATGGTTGGTTAGCAAAATTATATTAATTTCCTATCAACCAAGACTTGCAGTTTTGAAAAATATTTTTCCAAAAAATTCGCTAATTTTCAAGGTTAGAATTAACACATTGAACAAGGCATAAATTGTTACGTCACCTAAGAGAAGGACATTGGAAGTAATTTACCTGCGAATGACTAGAGTGTTTTGTTCAGCTCATGTGGTTCCGTATGACCAGTAAAAAGGAATGGCTGCCTGTGGGCGTCACGGCGTCCAGCGTCGTTCAAGAAAAGATTTTGGCCATTTCTCTTGCTCGTTGCTTCCAGCAGGGCTGAACAAAGTACGATATGAATTATTTTTTTCAATGTCAAATGTAAACAATAATTTAATAAGACATCTACGCCATAAATATCTACTAACCTTTCTTTTTTAGACTTCATTTAGTATTCCTTGTATTTTACCCGTGTCTCTGATATATCAGCAATTTATATATGGATTTTATCATATCGTGTGGGTGATCCGGTTTGTTGTAGGTATTCTGTTAATTTCAATCCATCATTAAAAAAGCAAGCTCCTACATCTTGTAGCCAAAAATAGATAGACGATACTCGTGGCGCGACACACGTGGCTAAATGTTATTATTACCCTGCCGTGCTTTTCAAAATAATATTTGATAAAAAATATTCCTGGTATACCGTAAAATATACAAATATACCTTAAACAATAGAGTTCGTCTGTATGAAAAATGCCTTGAACAATGTCGAAAAATCGAATAGATATATCGATATTGAATCCACTGCGATGCGTCAGTATGTGAATTTAAAAAAAGAAATCCAAAATTGGACGTCATTAAATTGTTCGTAAGAATATAACAGGATTAAGAGCACCTAAAAGGTCGCTCGAAGACAAGTTATTATTATCAGTACGTTTGAGAGTTTCTGAAAAAAAAATAATATAAAATCGTTTATACTAAAATCATATTCCTGGAAAATTTGATGTTTTAAAACATTGACTCAGGTAAATCGCTTAATCGTTTCATGTCATTTTTTGTTCGTCTCATTAAGTCGAATATCGTCAGCCTCGTGAGAAGCAGAACCATCAAGGGAAACGAGATAGAAAATAGCCAAAGTGAATAGACACAAACCAAATTGTAAGGCAGAAAATAAAGAAAAAAGAAGAAAAAAATAGCACGTTTGAAAAATTTTATTTTCTATTCACCCCCCCGTCCCCCCCCACCCCAAGTCCGCTCATTTTCACCTTCCGTCTACCATGAATCGCGAGCCACGAAGGCGACATCTCACTTTCATACTCTTTGTTCCTGATCCGGTTTACTTGGCTGAGATAAGTGCACCTGCACCCACCGGATTCACTATTTTCTCCCTTAATATCAGCTGCTAGCATTTATCGATACAACAGACGCCATCCTTAAGTCGAACCTCGATTTCAGTCCGACTTAAAGCTCAGTTCACAGCGTTGAAAAATTATTCCTTGAGTATACGTCTATTCCTTGAAGTAAACCTTGAGAAGATGGCTACGGTACAGTAATTCCATATATTATTTCAATAGCTGTCGATACTCAGATCGATATATGTATATACAGTCATGGCATATCTAGATATACAAGTGAAGCTATCGCAAATGAGTTTCGACAAAGGATGATTTCCGACAAGCGAGCCTTATTTGAATCTTCAAGATTAATGTCGAATCTCTCAATAAGGTTGCCCAGGAATTGATGTAGCCATTAACAGTCTCTTCATAGATGGTTACGAACAAGTTACTAAATTCCACTTACTTGTAATTAACTCTTTTCCTTATTAGCATCATCAGCAGGATCACCTTCTTTGGTGAAAATCAATATCAGCCGATCCCTTTTTGTCTCGATATTTTTTTAACTCGCTCAAAAAATATCTCTGACAAGTCTGCATACTTGAGTATCTGACGTACTTCGTTAATTATACAATTAAATTGGTATACATTTTTTTAAACATATTTTTCATCGTAACTAATAAGTATTTTCTGATATTAATTTCAATAACAATCACTTTTTAAATTAACTAACCTCTTTTCTCCTTCCCATGGAGAAACTGTCTAATTCTAATTTGCCACCCTTAGCCGTTGCTTCAGTGGCGACATCTCTCTCGAGTCACAAGTAACGAAGGCTGTGTTTGCCTCGCCGATCTTTCCATGTCGAACATTAGCTTCAACTTCAATTTATAATTCATTAACGGAGCTCTCAGTGATTCAATTAAAAATTATTAAAGGGAGCTCAGACCAATAATACTATACCTATAGTTCACTTTGGCTTTACTACCCAATGAACCTAACCTGAAAACTTTGACGCTGTGCTACGCTCGAAGCCGTATTCCCATTTTAATGACATTACATTACAAAGGTTGGCAAGACGCAAAGGCTCTTCTCATATTTCGTTCATTACTGTTGGCGTCTGCTGACAGTTTCGCGACAGTTTGAAACTGAGTCTTGCGATCTAAATACTTGGACTTTCCAGCAATAATAAATACGCAGCACTGAGAATGAAGACGACGTCTGTCGCTTACGTGTATATTATATATAGATAGAGGTGAGTATTGATTTTTGTGTTTAAAAAATATCACACGACTATTTATACATACGATTGTTCACGTAAAATAGAATTGATCATGTATATCATTCGTCGTAATTAACAGTTAATATTTTAGTATAGATAAAAATGAGCGATGAAAAATAATACGACTTTCAAGTATGTCGCTTTGACAAATTATCGTGGCTGATATCAGCTTTTATATTGGGACTTAGTTTAATATTGTATGATCCTAAAATATTGTCTATGCTTAGAAGTAACTTTGTAAAAATTGATGACAGTACAAAAACACGCATGGAGGATTATCAAGGAAAATGGTAACGCAAGGTCAACAATATTAGACTTATGATTATGAAAAACTGGCTTGATGAAATTTTAATTAAAATTCGCGTATTCGGTATTTGGGTGGCAAGGGATATTCATTTTTATTATAGACAAATTAAACGAAACGTTACAAATTATTTGGGGGTGGCTTGAACGCTGCTTCTGATGGCTTCTGTTAGGCTTCTGTTAGGTTATCGCGTTAATTAAAATATACGAGTCTCCGTGGTCGCTTGAAATAATTTTTATTCCGAGTGAAAACATCGAGGTATTATTTCAGTCGGTCGTACATGGGGACTCGAATTATATTTAGAAACTATTTTTTTTTAATTGTACAAATATTTTAGTGCTGTATCGGTGGGATTGAGTCTGTTTTAATGAATACAGTACCAGTCAAAAGTATTGGTAGAGTTTCATACGTTTGATCAGTGGTGTACTGTGCCAATACTTCTGACCAGGACTGTACGTTGCTGTTGCTTTGATTTTCCAGAATTCAATTTGGCACGTGACTTTCAGGTGTCTTTGATGAAATATTTTTTTGAATCTAATTAATTTCGTTGAATTTTCAAAATTTTTCAATGAGAACATCATAGTTGAAGTAAATACTTATCAGACGCTATCGTCATCCATTTTTAATCGTATTATTCAAGCTTGCAACTTTACGCAGTTTTTGCAACCATATCCATAACACGTGCGAAGTCGACGAACTCCAACCAAATGATGTATTGCAAAAATAAAAAAAAAATAAATAAGATTTGCGATAAGCTGATAAGTAAAAAAAAAGTCCGTATTCAGATTTTAAAATTGATCCCTATTGCATGATATATACAGCTAATTGTCAAGACTGATTACTATAATTTACTATATTTTATATTATAATTACTGGTATCAATAATTCATCGTAGACTCGTAAGTAATTCCCCTGCTTGTTTACAGGGATTGATCTGCGTTGAAACCTGACAAGCAGATAATGAAGTTCGATGTAATCCTTAAGGAATGCGCTAATTACGTGCCACAGTGCTAAAGTAAGAATCGCTTATTGCAAAACTCGATTTCTGGATCTTAGCATAAATTAAAAAGAAACATTCACAGTCGGATATTCATTTCTCGTCATCTTTCAAGTGAAACAAGTAAAATCCTCATTGACAAGAATTTCGGTACGTATTGAAAGATTATAAGAATTTTTTAAGAGTTAAAAAATCACGTGTCAACCATAATACGTTACACGTAGTCACATGTTCACACTTGGCGTCACATGACAGCCATTTGCTAACTACGCTTTGTTAACAAGCGCCATTCAATATTTCCTCGTGACTCTGTTCCCAGTAAACGTCTGAAGTTCCCGTCGAGTCTTCAAAATTGAAAGAGAGGACAGCGACGCGTCGCGACGCCCATCAATGGACGTACTTCGCAAGCCAATTATCATCTGCCATAATGGATTTAAGAATGATCAAAAGTCTAATTTCAATTTGAAATTTCATTTTGTTAGCTCTTGTTTCTTTTTTTTCGAAAATTTCAATTGAATTACTATCATAATAATTTTTGGTTACTTTGAACGCTAATTCAATTTCACTTACCTTAAAAAATGTTTTTTTTAAATTTTCATATAAAAATTGCCTCAATACTTTCTCAATATTCTCGTCATTCTTCTTCATCATATATTACAATGTATTTTAATGGGGGTACGGATGGTAATATAATCAGGCCACGCATTTCGAGATAATTTTTAATCAGCATCACTTGCAGTTCTTCCTGCAGACTCTGCAAATTCGAACGAATTATTTCAAACGTATTATAACTAATCAGCAATGCTCGTGTCCTGTATTCAATTTGAATTGCGCGGTTAGTAGGAAAGTGTCACAGTTGCCAAAGTACTAATTTCTTGTAGATTTAATTTTTTAATTTTCTTCCTTAACTCAAAATTCTATCTTGCAAAGATACTGAAAATACTAGATTCAAATAAATGATGTATCGCTTAACTAGTATCGTATATAGAAGAAAACGGATGTAATGGCAAGCGGAAGTCCTTGCTATAGTCAAATGAATTGCGTCATAGGGTTCATTTAAAACAAAATTTTAGGTGGAACGACAGGTTTCCTATTGTATATTTTTTTTTTACTTTTGCGAATAAACAATATAGTGCCATTCTCAAAATATTTGCTGTACAATATATAATCGTTGAGCCAAATCGAAAAACCGAGATATATTCTTTAATTTTCATACTTCATATTATTTCAGAACCATTAATTAGATTTCTTTTGATAATCCTACCTCCTCAAGTGTACCATAAGAATGGATGTCCCATAATCCATATCGGAGCAATTGGTTATTCAATACAGAGAAAAATATTACCAGCGGAAGTAAAATAGGGAATTTAATCAATTTCGTATGCGTAGAATGTAAAGCCACCGTTTGCAATCGATGTAACGGCACAGTGATTTCCCATTTTGGTTTACGTAAGTCAGAACAGCACAAATGCGGGATGACGCAATTGAGCAGACGTGTATTTTTACTCTTCCGGCTCTAATCGAACGATTTTGTAGCCATTAATTTGGTTGAGCGTGACAAAGCGCCTTGTTCCTGTATTCCATTGTTCCTTGCGTTTGAATTTAACCGCCGTGCGTAGGAACGAATGAATACGGTTGACGCGGTTGACGACGGCCATGACACTTTCGATCCCAACGCCTTCTAGAGAAGCTATAAAGTATCATAGACGGTTAATTTTAATTAATGATACAAATTGCTCCTATTTATTTGAAGTGACACGCGTAATGTATAATATTCCTTTAATAAGAGTTTCCAGTGCTGTGCGATCGTTACTGATCATGACTAATGAAAAAATTGAAATCCCATAAGCGGAATGAATATCGGCCGACGAGTTACTGAAGGTTCTAGAAGGGACTAAGTATGTGCAGCGATTCAAGTATTACGCTACAAAGGGAGCGTGTAAGAAGAAATCGCAAGAGCAGAAAATACGATACGGCTGTAGACTCAGCAGACTGAATATATGGATCAGGTAGATGAAAGAGAGGTTAACATTACCCTTTTGAATTTCATGGTACAAGGATTCCTTTGTTGGAACATCATAAGGCTGATGGTCGCTGCCGAAAGGAGTCCCTGGTTCTTGTCGTACTAAGGTAAATATCCCAATTGCTGATTAGGTTAGAAAAGTCTGTCATTCTGACCGTGTAATTCCATAAGGTTAAACAAGGATGTACAGTAGGACAGCTGTAGAAATTGAAATAGGACCCCAGTTAGTATTTGGGTTATTCGCCCTACTGCGTGACAAGAAAAATTCTAATAGGATCCAGTGCCGCATGTTTATGCAAAAGTTCATGACAATAATGTAAATTTGTGAAAATTGAAAAGACGAAATCAATGACGACACATAAGAAGACAAATAATCTTAACGCGTACGCGACCACGGTGATCACCCGTGACAGAGTTTACTACATTTCTTTGAATGATTAAAGTAAGATGATGTATCGACTAAAAATTTTGAGTCACGAGGAATTGCCAGCAAGATAAAGGAATTATTAAACAAAGAAATGATCTTATTTAATCACACTAATTTAACATTTTATCATAATATACTTAGAATTATAAAAATTCTTATTGTTACATTCAGAGCAAAACATGTAAAACTTGCATGACAGCATGTTAACATAAGGATGTTTTGTTTCACGTAGGGGTACATTAGCATCTTACTTGAATTTCCTGTAAACACTCAAATTCATGACGAGGAAAGATTGTAAACGGTTTTTGGATAAAAAATAATATTCTTTTTGCTTAAAATCAAGGAGCGCTTATTACTTTTTTTATAAATATTTTTCTTGGCATCTCATCGAAAATATTTGACGTCGCAAATCTCACGCCTAACGTGTGACTGAGTGTCGGTTGAGGTATGCGAAAGTTTGAGAGATTAAAAAGGCAAACTGTTTCAAGCGCCACGTGCACGCACGCAAAAGGAACGAGCGGCAATGAGGAATCAGGGGAGCGCAGACTGATTGTGAATGTCAGTGAACGTGATCGGCATAAAGAATGTCAGTAGCGCAAATGTATATAGGAATCAGAATAAGTAACAGAAGTAGTGACACGATCCACGTATGAATTTATGTATATGGATCATCTTCATTCTTTCTATGTTAAACTTTGCATTACTCGATTTACCTTTGCCATTGTTATTTCATCGGTATCATCGGTTACGATTTACAATAATAATCGAGAACAGAAGGTAATACGATATTAAAAATTGTGCTTTGGTATTTTTTGCAAAAATCATCATTACTTACCGTAATATCATCTGTTCGTGCAAAGTAAATGGAAGTGAGGAAATATGATTTATTGCTTCGGAGAATTTCACCGTTTTTTTTACTCAGTGGTAGTTGAACATTTTTTTGGTGTAATATTTCCTAAAAGAGGAAACATCGAAATTAGGAGGTCTTTTGAATATCCCGAGGTAAAGTACATTCATCATTTTGAATAGATTATTGAACGAAAGATATTATTAACTGCTTAATTTGTATTCAAAAAGCGGCACGTGCTTCTTCGTATTGTCAGAAGTTCCTGTATGTATTAATGGATGGCTGATTTCTCTAACAGTTGTAACGACATTTACTGTGTATAAAACTAATATTTATTTTGCAGGTACGATTTAAATAGGAGCTAAGTGTTTTACTGAAATGGAGGAAGTAGATGTGTGCCCGTGTGTGTACACTAAATACAGTTGTACATATGTTTGCCAATTGATATTGAAAATATAATTAAAAAACGTCCAAGGAATAATGACGTTGAATATTTTCGATAATGATTCACGGCCGGAGAAACAAATCATGGAAGAAACAAATTGTTGAGGCCCAACGTGTGATAATGATAAATCTGCATGGGGGCTTCGGGTACCATCGGCGAACAATGCAAACTACGTCAGAAGATCCAAACAGATTCTAAATATATATCTACAAACGACTGCCGTTCCAAGAAATCAAAAAGGACTCAACTTAATGCGCAATATATAAAAAGAACAATGGATCTTCCATGAATAGAAAAAAAGGAGAAGAGAATTTCCAAAAACATGGAAAAAATAATTCCGCGTACGATCGCAGACATTGCTAACTCCTTTAAATTGACCTTATTCAAAGAGACATATAAAGAAAATTGATTTCTTTGATGCTCGCTGCCGTGCGAATTATTTTCGTCATGCAATGTTATTACTAAAAATAACCTTAAAAGAAAATGGCTTGCAAAAGTCACGCATAGGTGGAGATAATTTATGGTGCCTTATACTCATCCGTTTCACCTAAAGGTGTCCTTCGATAAAATCGATCAGAGTTCGTTGACTTTGCTAAACGCGCATTGCACGACTGATAGGCAGCCATTTGCCCGCGACACGCAGCGCAGGATGATGAAACTTTTTCTCTGGGCGTAGTTTCTGCCTTCCGCCGTATATATCGAGGTAAGATAATAGAGGAAGTGTTTGCGCAACTTAAAATAATGACAAAGTAATGTATCGTGTGGTCCTTTCTTTTTTTAGGAGATATTCCGTCCTTGCATCATTGTTTGGGAGACCTCCGACAGGAGAGACATGGATTTTGTCAGCTGAGTCTAAAGAGAGAAGAAAAAACTGGACTGACTAATTTGCTCGGCCAATTCTTTCATCCGACTACTGGAAATCATTTGAATTTCGAAACGAGTCAGCAGGATAACCCCGAGCGTTATCGTACGACACTCTGCTGAGTTAATGCAACACGGTCTTGCAGGGGAAAATACTGTGACCTTTGACATTCGGTGATCTTCGCGGGGGATCATCTGGACTATTGACACCATTGCAGTCGTATCATATGCATAATGGCATCATGTGCTCTGAGTTGTAAACACATTGGGTACTAGATTACCTGCAAATGTATTTTTTTCTCCTTTAGATGTTTCCTCGTTTCCAGTTATCATAACTTATTAAGGAATCAGTGGCTGAACGGGTGCTAAACGATAGCGAGACGATAATTTAATATTTTTTTAATTATACATTTCAGAAATTTTTCTCTTTTCTGGTTATTGTCACCCTCGAGGGGATCATGAGCTAGACAGTTGCTAATTATTGATTTCAGAATTTTTCCTCATTTCTGGTTATCATGACTCTCTAGGGTATCAGTGACTAGACGTTTACTGAAGCGCGGATAGTCAAATATATGTATAAGGAAATTTCCATTCTGACTGAAGTCAGTTTCCACAGTTATTTTTTGATATTGGACGATTTCGAAGAAGGCATAATTCATTAAGGTCACTAATCGCTTCTCATCACTTTATTATTTTTAGATCCACTCACAGATTGTCTTCTATTTTCTATTTTATTTTATAAACGTGTCGACCAAACTTCTTTATAATTCGATAATACACGTTCCTTCTATTTCATCATTTACATCCAGTCTCAATAATTTCCAACGTTCTATATATCATTTTCTCACTCCATTACCATTCATAAGCTGATACTGTCATCGTCTGTCATATCACAAGATTTATTTTACCTATAGAAGTCAGTGTACCAACCAAGTCACTTGCCTATGGCTATTCACCTATATGGCTACATTAGGTATATGGAAACATGCCACATTATATATATATTGTACACACTGAATATACATATGTCTGACAGAATAACTTGCATATACATATATATATATTTGCAACAATAAGGTCTCCATAATTTTTCATTCATCTCAAATGTTGACCTCGATTAATAAAAAAAAATGTAACCAGTCAACTTTCACCAGCCGGTTCAGTGTCATAAAACTACTTTTTTTTCTTGGTCGTAAAAGTCACCATTGCAGTTATTACGTATGATGGTACAAAAACATGGAAAATTAAAATAAAAAAAAATTCATTGTGAACTTGCGGCTATGCGGAACTCTTAATTTTGTGAGATTATATCATTAACGCTTGACCTCGAAAATCAGCTGGCTATCGTGATTAAATCGAAAATTAAAAAAAAGACACCTTCCGCATTTTCTCTAACAGTGTAGTTTCGTTAAAAAAAAACAGCCATCGAAATCAGTGAGTCACTTTATGCGTCAATCGTATCCTTCGTTGCCCAATAGAGATCAATACCGTTCAGGTATTTAAATTTTGATGATTAACAGCCGGTATGTATTTGAAACCTGTTACAGTTTAATTGGAAAACAATGACTTTCATCAAACATATGGTGCACCATTGCGACATTGGAATGTGTCGGATTACCAAATTAATGTTTTCCCAGAATAATTTTCTGGAAAGGACAAGGAACGAAGATTTTATTGAAATCACTGGAGAAATCATAGTTGGCCCATCAATAAGGTCAATATATTTTGAATTTACTTGAGGAATTTGCTAATTAAGAATAAATGCGTATTCTGTGTATATTTTTTAGGATGTGTAAATTCAGTTAAGTCATTAGTCTTGAAAATATCTAAGTATATTTTGATCTTGATGATGTCTTGTTGAATTGGCACGATGTTGAGCATGTTTTAGAATTATTAAAAAATAATCCCACGTTATCGACCATCTTTGATGCTGATAAGGTCACCGACACAATTTGTATATTATTTCTGTACGTGCTCCAATGACTATTAGTCTTGTTAATTGAATTTTTCTTTAATCGTTTTAGGTTCACTCATTTATATGCTGCTTAAAAATCTTCAACGTCACTATTTGAGTGGTTACCATGACATTCTAATCAATGATCCTGGACAGGAGGGAGAAGTTAAGAGTCACTGATAACAACCTTCTTTAATGGTCGGCGTGATAGATAACAGGCATTAACGAAACGAAATTAGACGAAACGAGGATCCCGTATGTGAAATTATATTAGAAGAAGCCATCGGCATCGTGACAGGAAGATTGCAATGTAAATTCTAGTCAGCCAACTTTGAATTACTTGAATCGTTGACAAACGTCGGAGAAGGATTTTACATTTAAAAATGTCTGTATTTATCTTTCTTTTTACTTTCATCGGAATTAACAAGATTATCTTCTAATTATGCTCTTTATGGTTATCGCAGAATCGTTTCCGCAAAGAATTGCGTGTCAGTTTCGACGTCAGAAGAAAAAGAACTATCGCCACTTTCATCTTGGAGCAGACTGAGAAGTACACGCCGAAGATTTAAACTGCTTATGCTATTGCACTTCCGAGTTATCTTTTTTAAATCAAGAAAATAATAGCAATAGCTATTATTCAATAGAGAAAGCATTCATTCAATAGAGAAAGATACCAGTTAAAGTAATTCTTGGAGTAATCGTGATTTTTGGTCTTTTGTGCTTTAATACTGTATTTATTTTAAATATATATATTTTTTAAGCAGCGACATAAATATCGAAATGAAATTAGTTACTGAACTGCTGGATAAGGAAACCGGAACTCTTACTGCCTCCAATATATAACCGTTGAAGCCGATTAGATTTCATGGTAGACATGAAATGAAACGAAGCTTGAAATAAACTAGATTGCGTGTAAAGTAAAGCTGCAATGAAAATGCATTATTTGATAGACTACAGGCCATTTATATTTTGCATGCGGAATAGTATTATCTTTGCCAAGTAATCCATTGAACGGAACGGATTTACAAATGATAAAGCTGTTTAACCAACTGTCAGATGTCAATTTTGCATTACGTATGTCCCACATGCATTTTCCGTGTTATCCTCAAAATTATTTCTTTGAAGATGCACACATTTGAACGTCACTGTCTACATTTTAAATGCCATTGAATCCTTAAGTCATTTTCAATTTTTCTTTTCGAAACGAAAAGCACACGTGAAATTGAAATGAAAGATTTCCTGTATATACACGCAAACTACACGTACCGTCCAAAAGTCGTCCTAAAGATGTTTAATGCGACGGAGTTTAACTTTTCAACGTCTTAAAAAAGACTTTAGAATTTTTATGCTGTCTGGGTAATAAGCGACTAGCGAAAAAAAAAGGGGAGAGGAAAATGAATTGTTGGGTATTCATTCAGTACTCAAAATGCACTTTTCCTTCGAGATGAGAAATAATACAGCAATACCAATTTCACATGACAATAGTATAGTTAATATTTAGCGTCAATAGTATAATTACTTATCAGGATAACTGTCCAAGTGATGAGATACTCTCACAACAGGAGATATATTGTGTTCTTGCATCTCAGGTACATCATGAACTTGATGTCTTCTCAGTTGAACGTAATTCCAGTTCTGATTGATATTCGTGTTCTTGTTGTGGTTTTTATTGAGATTTCCGGAAATATCGGCGTAGAAGGACGCAGGATGTCCTCTCATGGGAGGATAAAGTGGATAAAGAGGTCGTGCTGGATAAGAAGGTCTATTGGAGTGCCATGGGTTATAGACTGGTTCAAAGTATACAGGCTTAGTTAAGGGCTTCAGGAGAGACAGATCCTTGCCATTTTTATCAGTGATGTTAACTGGTATCAAGGAATGTAAGGTTGAGGGAGATTTCTGATTTACAATTTTCCGTTGCATTTTCTGCATCCTTTTCTTCTTCCTCTGATGATGCGGATTCCGGTTGTGACACATTACAACGACGTCCTTATTTTTGGGCACATCTGTATTTTGTTTAATTTGATTACTTGGGATTTTCATGCAGTCTCCACTGGTGCATTCGGCACTTTCTGATTTGCTGCAATCATCGCCACTGCACGAACTGCTGTCATTTTGACAATTTTTACCTTCCGCACATTCCTCCGAGGAGGAGTCTGCGTTGCAATCGCCTCCAGGGCATCCGACTACCGGTGGTTGGCACTGAGGACCTACGCATTCTTTGGACTCTTCAGTTTCGCAATCGGCACAAGAACAATCCTCGCCACTGCATTCTGCTGGACAATTGGGACCAACGCATCCTTCACTTCCGGAGCAGTTTTCATCGCTACATTCGTCGCTACAGTTTCCGGAATCTTCGCACGAAGCCTTAGTAGTTGCTAAAACTGCTTTATTCAGTTTTGGTGTAAAGAGTTTCGTCGCGTTATTATCAATGTCAATTACTTTAGAGATTCCAGACGTAACATTGACCACTTCAGTGGGTCGAGGTGTTTCGGCCTTCGCGGGTATCGGTTTTACAATTTTCTTTATGGTAGATGGTGTTACGCTAATTGTGACAGATGGTGGATTGGTGGTGGTTACTCCTTTTGAACTTGCTTCACTTGATTGCTCCGTTATTTCAATCGTCTCTTTCAGCAATGTTTCCTCGTGACGAACAGGTTTTGATGTTTTGTTGGCGACGATCAAAGGAGAGGTTGTCGAACCTATTGGAACTGCAGTCAAAGTTATTGTAGTTTTTGTTTTTTCCGTCGTTGTACAATTAGTAGTTGTTGTTTCAATTCCATCTGTCGTCGGCAGGGTAACAGTTACCGCCTCTCCCGCTATTTTCTCTCTATCTACGATCGGTTGTATTGTGTCATGATGCGCCATATCTGGGATGATCGTCTCTTCTTGGTCGTATGTTGTTACAATGGAAGGGGGTTCTGTTATAGGGTTTTCTGCTGTTGTCGTTTCAATAATAATGGGTAGTTCTGTCGTTGTGAGTTGTGGTTTCGTTACAACAGGTGCTGGTGTTGTTACGACATAAGATTTTGACGTTGTCGTCGTGGAGATCACATTGGTTCCGATTGCCACTACCGGCGTTTTCGTTGGAATTTCTGTTGTTATGATCGTAACATCTGTCATCTCTTCGACCGATTCTGTCGTTGGCGCAGACGTTATTTCAGGCTCTTGAACTATTTCCACACTTTCTGTCGTTGGCGCAGACGTTATTTCAGCCTCGGGAACTATTTCCACACTTTCTGTTGTTGGCGCAGACGTTATTCCCGCTTCGGGAACTATTTCCACACTTTCTGTCGTTGGCGCAGACGTTATTTCAGCCTCGGGAGCTATTTTCTCACTTTCTGTCGTAACCGTACTCAGCTGAGTCATTGTTTTCATCACTTTGGCAGTTGCTAGTCTTTCCACCGACGTTGTCGGCTTCGTTGCCGCTAGTGACGTTGATGCTGTCGTCCATATATTTTCTCTAGGCCCATTACAAACCTCCAGCATAAGAGATCCTCTGTTGTTTACAAAATCAAAATACAAGAGTATCCAATTTTTAATTTCCACACTGACAAGGTCGCATTTTAAAACAACCTCGAGTCCAAGTCGAAGACAGGCTCTGGGATTGTTACAAATAATATCTATAGTGACGTTCTTAGCGTTCCACAAGCGCTCACGTATACTGTCAATGACGAGTATGAATCTCTTATGTTCTGTAACGGTACGAAGATTCTCATAGGCATCGAACAGCAAAAGAAGATCTTTGAGACTTTCAACGACGACACTGCGATGCCAGAATTGTGCGTGAACGTGCAGAGCCATCGCGATGTCTTTGGCAAATCCAATGTCCATAAGCTGCTGCATCGTTTCCATGAAGAGTTGTTCGGGACCTGACTGCTGATATTTCTCGATTCTGAGGAACTTGTCGACGATCCTTAAAGCCGTTACCTTTCGCAGGAGATAATCCTTGGCGCTAGCTACATCGGGATCAACAATATCAGAAGGTATGACCAGGTCGAATAAATATTTCAAATGAAAAATATTGCCCTCGTAGACAGTGCCAAGAAGTTCGATATTCGAATTGATCGATCCGACGTGCTTGATCACGTGTTGGGCAAGGAAGTGCACTTTATGAGCAATTGGTTCTGGGAATGTGTGCCAGTTAACTTGAAGATAATATCTGACAAGAGGCGCTATCGCATAAAATCGGCTGACCTGAAACGCGGACAAGGAGCGTCTGGTATTATTCCTTCTCGTTGCGTATCTCGAAGACAGAAGATGTCGCACCGTCTGCTTCTCAGCCTCCCGTACTCTCTCGTCGTACTCGTCGTACTGAATGTGATTCAATAAGCCAGCTAAGAGTTTGTCATTCAACGTCAGCATACCCTGCTGAAGATGTCGAACAATCATATTCATGAAAAATACATCAGGGTAAAGTTCATGCAGTCGACCCTTCTTATACACGTAATTGGTGTAATTCAAGGCTCCCGCAAATTGCGTTCGTAGTTTGGCCTGATCGTGTTTTCGAAGTTTCATGCAATTCCTGGCAGTTTCCTTAAGGCAGGTTCTCACGTGCAAGTGGATGTATTTGCACAAGGAGGACGGTCTTAGGTCCCTGTACTTCAAGACGCTCGGTACTATCTCAAAGATGTTGTACTTCCTCTTCATAGTCTCGTCGTAGATCCTGAAGAGGGCCTCGACCTGGCGCAGACTGAAGTCCTCGTAATGTTCAAAAATGATGGAGCCAAGGACGTCCAGCATTTGATAACGCAGTAGGGTGCCAAAGTGCAATAACACTTCTGTGCCTTCTTGAACCGTGTACGTGTTTTTGTAATCGGGAGTCTCGTTTAATTCATTTTCCAAATAACGTCTCAGCGGTCGGTTATTTCTTCTCTTTATCATCTTAGGTTCCTCGTCGTTTCTAAAGGAGTCATAGTCGATACCCTGGAACGAAAGTGGAAACAAATTTTAATTCAATTATTATCATGCTAATTGTCCGTGATCGATCTATCGATGTATTAAAAATATATATATATATATATTTTTTAATCGCCAATAGGCAGTTTCTGTCAACTACAGTGGCACTCGGTTACTCTTGTTCGATTAATTTTATTACCATGGCACACGATGACGGATTCGAAAATTATTCAACGGTGCAATGTGTGTGTCCAAATATGTTGCGTAGCTTGTTCTCGCCTTCTTGTACGATAGGCACGTTTGCTGGCACCAATGAAATATATGGTTGGACAACTTTAACGAAGATAACGATTCTTAATTTTATTACCGCTCGGAAATATTGCATGCAACGAACGACCCCCTTCTAACTTGACTCGCATTTCAATACCACCGATGCATAACCTATGTATTTTTCGATTTGTTCTTCTGACAAATTTGTAGATAATGTAGCTCTTTGGTAATTACGAACAACGACGGGAACTACGATTAAATCGTTGTCAATAATGGCACCGTGTTACGTCATTGATAATACGTTTAATATAGATATGCACTTTTAACGAATATTTTATCGCTTTAATTATCATCGGCTTACCGTAAAGTATCCATAAATTAGTTGATTATGAGTAAAATAGAATAATTTAGAGTCCACGACGTCTTTAACGATATGACTGTACTTAATATCAAGCAATATGAAGTTACATAAATTGTTTTGATATTTAGGAAATCATTAATTCAGCTCAGTCCTAATTAGAGAAATCAATGAATTCGACACAAATTCACTGATAACTGTTATCTCAAAGTTCGTAACGAACTGTGCAAATTAAAATAATGTTCGGTATCAAATCTTCACACTGCTGTATATACGACGTGTACTCGACAAATCAAATGAGCAACTATTAAAAAAAAAGGAGCGGGAAACCTCGAAATTTCCTAGCATAAAATTAGTAAAATAATTTTACTTTGATATTGAAATATTATATGAAATTAATATTTAATAGCAATACACTCACGCGTACGACGTTGAGTATCAGAAGAAGAAGTACAGCGTGAATGAGCATCCGATAGAATCGTCCACCTTGAACTAGCATTTCCCGCGCTGACATTGTCTACTTTAAAAAGAGCGTCGCGACGTCCGACGTATGCAGGTTGCTCCAGCAAACAATGCAAAGTAGTCGATGCCACCGAGAGTTTATATCAAATTTTTAACGACACATATAACCTCGAAACACCTACACACAGCCGAAACTCTCCTCCCAATTGCTGCAGAGCGCTCTGCTCTGCACGCAATTGCACGTCGATCAAGAAATTTAAAGTCAGTTATTAAACATATTAATAATCGAATCCAATCAAATGATTAATTCTCATCGTATTTCATACCTCAAAGATTCCTTTACACCTCCATTAAAAGTATCCACTAGGCACCTTATGTTCTTATGCCTTGACGAGCAGCATAAAAAAGGTGTCAATAGACGGACACGTGTTTCATAATGTTGCCGGAATAAAATAAGCGTCAAGTTAAGGGCGAAAGGAGGACGAAAATTGTTATTCGGATTGAACATTTAAGAAAAGAATTTATCATTTACTCTCAAATCTCAAGAGTAATCGAATTTAAATAAAATTCATTATCTTTCAATCGTACGACTAATCTTACTGTTATCGGTTGTTGGAATCATTGTTGTTATATCAATACTAATCGAATTTCATTCACACGATACGTAAAGGAGATTTAAGTGCACGGAAAAAGCGACGTGCTATACCTTAATCTCGTTGGTTTATTCGATTTACCATCGGATGGTATTGCCTACGTAGCGAATCTGCTCGTCCTACCGGGTTTCCTAGACCTGGAAAAACACTGTATTTCTTTTACCTGTTCTTCGTGACACATTTTCATCGATCTGGCACACCGCGTGTGACGAAAATAAGTATAACCAGCCAGGGTTAACTTTGGAAGGATGCGCTATAACTTTATTTTCCATCAAATCATCGAAGGTATGTGAGGTAATGCTCGGTAGCATTACATGTGTCTAAAGTATTATTTCCTGCAATGATTTTACCATCTGGAAAACGTAAAAAGGATACGATATTGAAAACGACACGAAGCAATTTTATGGTTGGGCTAAAAAAAGGTATAAATTCGTGATCAAATGGTTTTGACGTATTATATCGTAGTTACTCCCACTTTAACGGATAAGCTGCTACGAATTAACAAATGCTCGTATTCGAGTCGTGCAGCACGGTTTCACGGTGTGTTGCAGTCATAATGCAAGAACGATATCAATCGATATAAGTTATACGTTCTCGATTCTCCCAGTACGTATCGTTCAAAGTAAATGATTTTTTGATTCATTTAGTCAGTTATCGGAGTTTACAAGTATTGTTGTAATTAAATACAATACTTATATAGGCAATATAAAGTGATTACTCTTTAACATGACTTAGACCCGGTAGAATTAAAATTAGTTAACCAACAAAATATAATACGCGTATCTGAGCATCGTCAAATCGGAGTAATTGCGTGCAGTAAAGATAAAGCTAAAGATTATATACAAAGATTTTTCATAAAATAATTTATCCTGTCTTTTGATTGTTCTCAGAATGTATTTTATTCATTTTTTTTTCATAAAAGAATTTTCACCCAAGCAATAATTAATTACAGGAGTTAGGTGGCCGAAAGCTCAGGATACTCAGACTGCTGCAGAGTCTCGTACGTGTATTCTACGGGTGCAAGCTCTGAAAGGAAGAAATTGGAGCTTGCGCAAAACAGAGACCAATATGGATTCCCACTGCGTCCATAAATGACACGTCTTTTGTTGAAGCGTCGAGTTAGGGATAGTAGCTGACGCGCTAAACCGTCTGTTATCTGTGATTGGGTTAGTTTGACTGTTATGCAACGTGTGTAGGAGAGAGGGAGAGAGAGAGAGAACTTGCGAAGCAACATGTCTCAGGAATATATTTACGCCTGTCAAAGAGCGGAACTTTTGGGTCTGCCAACTCCGAGCGAAGAGGAATGGGCGAAGTCGCAGAAAGACATTCAGAGGAATTTGAATGAGGAATTGGAGGACGAAGAGGACAGGATTGCTGTGGTATTTACTTTAGATTATTTTTTTGGGACTTAATTAATTATTTATTGGTATGGTTAATCGATGAAGACACGAGATGAGTGGTGCATATTTTAATTTAGGATCTGGATCAGAAGGATGAAAGTCTTCGAGGTGTTACTGGTGGACTTGATGAATTAAATAGTATCCTTAATGCGACACAGAAAAAGATCAACAGATTTAAGGTATGACGGTACTATTGCTTTTTTAATTTTATATTTTTATTCTTTAAATTATTTTATGTGCAGACTGTTTGTGGCAGTCTTACAAACATCTTGAAGGTTCGCGTCAGTTCACGCAACGGTACACCAGATCACAGGCCGCTAAAAGCAAATCCGGATGCGGAAGAGGCTACTCCTGATATTTTAATTGCTGATGAAAATATAACTGTGGAAACGACGGAGCAGGTGGATCAAGAGGATCCAGGAAATTCTGTAAATTCAAAAAGTGCTATGACTGGCAGGAAAATTGATATCAATCAGAAAGTCGAATCTCATATTGATAAACTTGATTCTCTTATCACTAAAGCGGAAAAGGCTCAGTACAGCATGCAGTGTCAAACGAAGGAGATGAAGAAATTCCTTAAGTAACTGAAATGACAAGGAAAGTAAATAGATTAATTATTTTTTCTCATAAAATTCAATATCATTCGTGATATGAGTGGCTGGCAAGGATTATTTGGATTATAATCAAAATTGTATCGCGTGAGGAAATTGCGAGGATATTTAATAATGCGACTAGAGTAACTATCGAAATAAATCGTATTGAGTGAAGGAAGAAATGTTTTCCAAAATTCAAGACACATGCCGGTGCTTGTTATATATATCAATCGTTAAGTAGATTCTGTTTAGCTATTGTTGACAATGATGATGATTATAAGATTTATATTGAAGACTACAAATATTTGCTATACAATGTTTTGCAATCGAAAGGGGATGATTATTACTGAACTAACGAATTTGCTTGTTGTGCAGCGTTTTCCTATATCTTCAAAAATATAATACAGCATACGTATGTCTATTGCAAATAACAATTAACACGCTATAGTGAATCTAACCGCTTACATGTCTAATTTTACGGGACACATGTGTTGCATTAACAGATTTCACGGTAATTTATATAGTCAATATAGTTAATGAACGTTGCAATTTACCATCATGACACAAGTAAGATACTGATAACAGAACGCTAATTAATTATGTTAATCAATGCCTTCAATTCGCCAAGGAATTTGGCAATATGCTTATAATGCTATTGATACTGATATTATAATGATATTGATCTTCCAATCTCTGCAACCTTATACTATTATTTGTTAAAATAAGTGTTAACAAGGATAAAATCTTTAGAAGTAACGTCGCTGACTTGTTGTTATTACTTATTTGTTCCTTTAATACATAAGGAAGTGCGATAAGAGTAACTTTTTTCCACGATCTTTTCATTATCTCTTTGTCCCTCCATCTTCTTTTCCTTATTTGTATTTTTATACGATTTCCTTATCCGTAGTTTTTACGCTAGATGGCAGTAGTGCTCTTCTACGTACACGATAACCAATATGGCACCCTCCGTGATGTACAAAACAGTGTTTCATGAAGTGGTAGCTGCTTTACAGCGCGTAATGTTTTCTTAATAGGTAGAACGAATTTGACGTAGAAAATGCAAACGAATATGGTTGTTTCACCCCGTGTATTCACTGCAATACAAAATGTAAATATAAAGGAACTGTCAAAATGTTCACAAAAAGAAGTCCGGCCTATTTTGCCGTGTTTGGTTAGAATGAGTCTGATTTCGCCGTTAGATATGACAAAAGACTGTGTGGAAGGACGGAAAGAAATTTTGACTATTTTATCTGGAATCGAATCTGTGAATTCTATTGTCGCTTTGCTTTCCATTGATTTCCATGCCTTGGAGACGGACGTTAGAAAGGAGCAACAATTGAGGTTAGATTGTTTTTACAATAAACCCTGCAACTAATATTTTAATATTTAATATTAGTACACTGCTACAGTGATCATGTTTCATTTATATTTTATTTACAGACAGAAATTGGGAAGTGTTCAGACAGATAGTATTCTTGCACAGTCGCTACAAACTGGCCTTGCTTTAGAATTTGAAAGGAGTGAGTCAACACGGCGTATTCGATTAGTGCTTAGTGAAATACTGTTTATAGCTTCTCAGATACATGAACTGCAGAAGAATCAAGAGTTTCAAATAAAACAATCTGATCTCTTTGACAATGCTGTTTATATGGAAGAAATTAGCTATGTTATTTGCATTGCATTGGCCGAACTACCAGCTTTGCTGTCGATTTTGGATATATCTGAAACACTGTTACACGTTAAACATGGACCTGAGATAATTTGTTGGATCGTAGCAAATAGTCCAGACAGTTTTGCAGAAGTCTGTACTCACTTGATTGCAAATGGTGAAAGGCAAGAAGAATCTGCCTTAGGCAGAATTAGAACTCAGGCTCTTACAATGTTATGCCAAATGAATCCAAGCCAAGCCCTAGCAATAAGAGCTAAGTGCGTGGAACTTTGTAGGATGCCTGCATTAGCAATAACTTTGAGCCTCGATCATGAGAATGTCGAAAAGCCACAGTTGAAGAGTGACATGGTTGCTTTCGTGTCTGGTTTGCTACTGGGAAGCGATCAGCAAGTTAGAACTTGGATAGCTATGTTTATAAGAAATGGCCAAAAAAGAAAATGGGAATCTCACACAGCATTGCAATCCCTAAGAGAAGAATTACTTCGAAAATTACAAGCAATTGTTTCACATAGTTCAGATAGTCAGCTGGATGAATCTCATGTCGTTCAAGCTAGTGCATTGTTAAGACTCTACTGCGCCCTTAGAGGAATCGGAGGGATAAAGTTTCAAGACGATGAAGTAACTATGATTGTTCAGCTGCTGACCTCACATCCTCCGCCATCACCAGCAGGAGTTCGATTTGTATCCCTAGGACTGTGTATGTTGATTGCGTGTCCTTCGTTAATAGGACATCACAACCTTGAGAAAAAAAGTGTTGAGTGGGTTCAGTGGTTGGTACGGGAGGAGGCATATTTTGAAAGTGCCAGTGGTGTATCAGCCAGTTTTGGAGAAATGTTACTTTTGATGGCTATTCACTTCCACAGTAACCAACTCTCAGCCATTTGTGAACTAGTCTGTGCGACTCTTGGCATGAAAATACCTATCAGACCAAATAATCTTACAAGAATGAAACAAATTTTCATGCAGGAGATCTTCACTGAACAAGTCGTGACCTCTCATGCTGTCAAAGTACCAGTGACGGCTAATCTAAATGCTAATATACCAGGTTTCTTGCCTGTGCATTGCATACACCAGTTATTAAAGTCAAGAGCATTTGCAAAGCATAAAGTGCCAATAAAAAATTGGATTTATCGACAAATTTGTGACAGCGTACCACCTTTACATCCTGTGTTGCCTGCACTGGTTGAAGTTTATGTGAATTCAATTTTGGTCACAAGTAACAAGACATCAGAGCACACAAATAAACCTATAACGGAAGATGAGATTAGAAGAGTTTTTCAAAACAGTGTTTTTGGAGCCAATTTTGATCCAAAGAAAAGTGCTATGAGCATTGTAGACAATGAATCCGGTTGTATGGATGTTGATACATCGAAACCTTCCTTAACGTCTCAGTTGCTGTTGTTGTATTATTTGTTATTGTACGAAGACGTTCGATTATCGAATATGCATCATTTTATGTCGCAAAATAGAAAAGTGAAGTCTTACTCAACAGAATTTCTTTCCGAATTACCGATAAAGTATCTCTTGCAGCAAGTGCAACGGGATCAGATGAGTTATGCTGGTTTATTTTCCCCACTTCTGAGATTATTGGCAACTCATTTTCCACATTTGTCATTGGTAGATGATTGGCTCGATGATGAAATGATAAATGTTGATTCAATGACTGCTAATTATGAAACTGTTATAGTCAATGATATGTCTATAATTGAAGCCTTTGGCCATATTCAGACCTGCCCTTCGAGAACAGGTCGTATGCTTCGACAACTGATGTCTATAAAACCAACAGATATCTGGCCTTACGCTGAAACCATTATTCATTACTTTAAAGCTGTTCTTGATGATAAAGTTCCCAGATATATTCAAGGTTTGTTAACGCTATTTTTCAATTTATATTTATAAATATCCAAGATATAACATATTCAGCAAAAATCAAACATAAAAAGAGATTTCTAATTACTTTCAGAACTTTACAAACAAGTCTGGCTGCGACTAAACACAGTATTGCCAAGATGTCTTTGGGTTCTATCGATAAACGCACTATTAATAGAAAATTCAACAGTTCGGAACGTGTTCCTCACACAGGAAAATATCGTACTGGATCCTCTACAAGTATTAAGATGCGACACAAGAGTTTTTAGATGCGCACCAGTATTATCAGTAATTCTCAGGTATACACTTAACTATTAAATCTAATGAAGTCGTCTTCACAAATCTAATACATTTAATTCGTCAAATAGAATATTACAAGCTACATTGGCTGCATCTCGATCTCAACTGTCTCGTCATATGCAAGATAGACCCCTGACAGAAAAAATAGGGCAGCTGTCAAATGAAGCAGAAAGAGAAGATCTACGAACAGCTCTGGTAGCAGGTCAAGAAAGTGCAGCAGTTCAAATCCTGTTGGAAGCATGTTTAGAAACCGCGGAGGATCGTGAAATACCTGGACAAATGTGGTCCTTGAGAGAGATCCGTAGTGTCGTCTGTTCTTATTTACATCAAGTCTTCATAGCAGATCCTTCCTTAGCAAAACTAGTTCATTTCCAGGTAAGCCGCTAATCTAATTGAATTCCATTCTATGATCAATTAATATTGACTGTCGTTACAGGGTTATCCAAGAGAACTTCTTCCAATAACAGTATCAGGAATTCCATCGATGCACATATGTCTTGATTGGATTCCAGAATTGCTCTCACAACCAGAACCAGAAAAGCAAATATTCGCCGTTGCATTGGCGTCTCATCTTGCTGTTCAGTATGCACTTCCAAAGGCGCTGAGCGTCTCTCGACTGGCAATTAATACGTTAATTACACTTCTGGGAGTTTTGCCATCGAAGGATAGAGTTGTTTTATTTATGCCCGTGTTACCAGCCCTCACAAGAATATGCCTGGCATTTCCGCCATTGGCTGAGGATATAACTGGCCTACTGTTGCAACTTGGCAGAGTTAGTTCAGCTCAAGCGGCTCTTGGAGATAAATCTGCTGAAGTACTGTGTCGCGAAGTGAACACAACATTTTCCTCATTAATGCAGAAAGCAATACTGCAGTCGAGAGTATATTAAAGCTATAGTGATTAGGGAAACATTTTGGCTAAGACAAGAAGCACCGCTAGAATGTAAATGTAAAAGTAATATCTACTGCGAGTACAGGTATGTCGAAAATTCTAATGAAATTGTGATACTTTTTTATGCGAGAATCTTAGATTTTTATACTGCTCGTTATTACAGGTTATCAGGGAATCAAGTATTACATTTTGATAACATTATTATTTTGTTCTTTATGTAGAAGTACATCGTTATACGACTAATTGTTTTCATCGCCTCTATTCCTCTATAGATTAAATGATTAAATTATTGAAGAACAACAAGACTCGTGTTTCCTAATATCAGAACTGTACCAGACTGTACTTTGTCATATCTGTAATTTTCTAAATTATACTAAACCAATAATTGGATCAATACAGATGTATTGCTTTAGCGACCAAATGTACATAAGAGTTATTTATACTATTGTTATTTGTAATATTTCAATGTAAAGGATTATAATAATCAAAAGTGGATTCATAAATCGTATCTTTTATCAATTATTTTCCACTATATATTTAAATATGAAACGGATAAAACATTATCCGACATTACTTATATCGGCCTGTCTTGATTCTATTCGGTTTCATTGGCAATCTCCCTCCTCACCTGTGACGCGACAAGCGAGACTACCAGAGACTAGGTATTCATTTGGCCACGGTTTGAATAAAAGATATTGCGAAAAAAATGGTAGAGGTGAACATTAGCTTTGAATAACACTAGTGATTGTTATAGAAAAAAATTCACGTACAACCAAAAATTATACGCGCAGGCATCCATAATATCCGCACGGTCATAACAAATATTAGGTTATGGTACCGATAAGCTGTGTCTTAACACAACAATCATAAAATCTTTAGGCACACACCTCGTTTGAAGTCACGTGGGGTTACAGTAACTACAGAAACCTGTTATCAAAGTGTGCCCCACTAAAATTTAGTTACTTATCAGCAATACATATATATTTCAGAATGGCAGAACTTAAGGTATGTTGGATAAATTAGTCCCTTGTGAAGTTCCTTGCTAAATTTGTACCATTTGTTTATTTATAGGAATTACCAGAGTTGCAGGTCTTTAAAACTGTTCTCTGTCACAGTATCGTTATAATAGCTTTTCCAGCAATTTCATTCTTTTTGAGTAAAGTATTTGTATTTGATGGTAAGTATTTTAGACAAGAGTCATGATTCTTACTTTTCTACTGTGGCTTGATTGATAATACTGAATGCTTATTTACAGGGCTTCTGGGGATTAACAGTGTGCCAAGTAATATTTATGCAGCAGCAGTTGCAGTTGTTGTGCTGCACATTGCACTAGGAGCATTTATATATAGAGCATACTTTACTTCGCCATCAAAACCACAAGCTAAGACGGATTAATTCCATTTCTCTAATCGGCACACCAATGATTACTATAATAGAGCATACCTTTTTATATGACACACCTCAGATCTTTGCAGGGAACTTATTTGATGGCATATGATTTTTCAAATGCACTTATCTTTGATATTTTTTCTGGTTTGATCTACGCGACAACAATAATTATACTATGTTGAATAAATATGGAAATAATATGTAATAAAAATGAACAAACAGTACGTGTGGCTAGAGTAAAAAGGTGGATGAAACTCTTATAGAGTATTTCCAACCGGTATGACCATAACTACCTTTACAATTATATATGCGTTAAGCAATGAAAATTAAAGGATTGTAAATAGTATCAAAAAATTCTGTGACTTTAAACACAAAGCAACATTTACTTATAACAATGGGACAGAAGAGAATTATTTTCAGCAATACTGGTATACTTGAAAGGAGTCAAATGAAAAAATGGGCAACAAGGCTTTAAGCCCTTTTGAATTATGTATAACTTCACAATCTAAATTACAATACAGTGTATTTGTTTTTAAATATTTAATTTTTGTTCTTTAATAACAACGCTGCCATAAAACATGATTGAAATACGTTAACACGTATAATACTTCACATCATGCGGGCAAACACTTTTCTAGAATGAATATATGCCAATTTCTGGCGTGGGTATTACGCAGTCAGGTGAAGATCTCGTAGCAGACTCTTGAAAAATGTCATTAGTGAAATATTCATTTATTTAAGTATCGTAAATGCAGCACATATATGATGCAACGCGATGTTCCGGCAGCCGGCCGGTAAGTGATGGAATGGATACTCAATATATCGTTAAATACATAAAGTCGCCAGCGATATTACCTATTCTGTACTTTAAATTAGCTTACCACTATTTCCTAGCGTAGCTGGTCTCTCGCTTATAACATTGCTACAAGTTTACGCAACGTATTATCTCGTTCTCACCCTACTTGTAGGTACCTACCCTGAATTCGTGTCCCAGGAGAACACTAATACAAGGAAATTCATTTACTTTCGCTATCAATGAGATATGAGAGATCTCGACTATCACTTTGCATGTATATACGCGCAACAAGTTCTAGTCGGTGTTGGAAATTTTGAACTTTTAATCAAGACTGCATAGCTCGAGATTGCTTTTTCTTCACTTTTTGATACCCAAAGATCCTTCGGGAAACAGAGCCGCATAATTATCTTACGCTTACGATTAATTCTATTAAGCCGATCACGTCTCAATAACAAATTTCACATGTATGTCATTTCAAAATAATATACTCCCAAGAAGACGAATAGTCGTCTTTGACATCGAAGAGATATTAGGAAAGAGAGCCATCAGGGTTGTGAGACTTTATGTCTGACGACTAGTGGACACAGTGGGCATGAAAGATATGCTGAAACTAGCATAGAAATTCTGGAGGGGGGTTTGAAATACCATAAATTTTATATAAGACAAACTACGTGGAGGCTGACCCTCTTCTTTTTTACCAATCTCTCCTCGGTGCCTTGAATATCCTTAATCGATACGCATTCAATGTGTATCTTTCTCAAATTCGCTCGCGAAATCGTGAAAGTGGATAATAGAAAAGAAGCGAATTTTGCGGTCTTCTCTACTATGATATATAAATCAGGCGCTTTTGTGACGTAATGATAATGACGTTGTAATTAAATATTCATCATTTTAATCTTAGTAGATTTAAGGTTATGAAAAAGAAACAGCGTAGACCCTATTTTATTACTCGACGTCCATTTTGTCCTCGTTGGGTTTTTGCTGCTGTTGACTGTTCTGATTGTTTCCATCACCCTGACTGTTTTGATTGCTCTCCGGATGGTGGTTCTCGCTTGGCTTCTCCTTGGACTTGTCATCCTTAGGAGGTTCTGCCTTGGGTTTTGGTTTGTTCAGGATCGGTAGAACGACGTTGTTCAATGCCTATTATTAAATTCATACAATCAAATTGTTGAAGCAGACTCTCCATCGTAACCAGATGAACAAATTTCCTGCATTGATATAATCTTGAAACCTTACCTGTTTCTCACTGCGAATTTGGGCAATGGTAACTGGTGGCTGCTGAGTGCGTGGGGTGCTTGCAAGAATTACTCGATTCTCTTCAAGCCACGACCATTTCTCCTGCACTATCTTTTCTATTTTCTTAATATTCTCATCCGTTATATGAGAGAACTTATCGTCCTTTCCATGAGATGCTTTAATCTGGTCCAATCCTTTCTTAGCAATCTGAAGTGCACCAGCCAGTTCCTCCAATGCTTGATTTCTTCCTTCAAACTCTAGTCTTCTTTCCTTTATTGGTTCGCATTGCGCCTGTCAATCATCATTATTAAAAGTTTATCCTCATCGTTATCGGTACTTGGTATCAGTAATAAAAAGACATAAGCATGTATCTTCATACCTTGAGACGTGCAAGCCGATCTGAGTAGACCTGACGGTTGCATTCCTCGCCCTCTTCGTACAACCAATTTTCAGTTTCATCAAGTTCACGACAAATGGCTTCCCGATCTGATTCCGTGACGAATGTTGCAAGTTGATCTTCATCAGAAAGCTTTGCCCGTAAATCATAGACGTACTCCTCTAGAGCATTGCGGGCATCTATGCGCTCCTTCTCTTGTCTATCCTCGGCTATCATTTTACACTGGACAAAGACAGAATAGAGTGCGCATTGAGATATCTATTTTTTGCAAACTGACAAACCTACTTCGAGACGCTACCAATAATTTATACATATTTACGTACTTCTTTCTCAATTGCAACATCTAGATCACGCTGTGAGAAACCGCCGACGCGAGACTCCACGGGAAGTTCCACTGTGCGTACAGAAATCTTTTTCTTCCCTTTCCCGTCTCCCTGAAACAAATAGCGATGGACGAAATTATAAACTGAACGTATTTAATATGCGTCGATGAACATTCTCTCGTTTAACGTGACGACATACGAACACAAAAGGTCTTACGCATCGACGAAATTCATACATTTTTTATTTGTTCGGAGTCACCGACTTCCTTTCGTTTAATTCGCTTTTGAGTTCGGTATCTTAATTTCATGGCATTCACTCTAGACTCAGACAAACAAATAAAACGTAAAATTAGGGACTAGGAAGACATAGAAAAAGGCTGGAACATTGGACAATAGCAAAAAATTGCCTATTTCAATAGTTTCCGTGTGTGGTTAAGGAGCTAGAGGACGATTAAAGAAATAGTAAATAATCCAGGAGAAAAGAGGCGAGAGGTGAGGGTGATTAAAAGTGTAGAAGGAACTGATTGAACAGACATAATCATGAGAGGAGTTTTCGATTTGAACGGGCTGTTATCATCTCTCTGCGTTGTTTCGGCGTTGATTTACTAGGAGGTATACGATTCCTGGTGTTATTGCTGTCGTGCGTCTCGAAACATCTCCGAGGCGACGTCGAAAAAGGACAGATGGGTAGAGAGACACAGCAAAAACAGAAAACCGGAAACATGTTGTCTGCCTTTGCAAACAGGTATATACAATTGCCATAGATATCTTCAAACTATTATGCTTTTTCTATAGTTCTTGTAGACTATGTTCAGTTTTAGTTGTATATAAAAGTTTTAAAAAAAGCAAAGACAGACACCAGGACGTGACACAGCTGTATCTTGGACCCATATGCATTGATTAGATTAATTGCTGCGAAGCAATACTTTTAGACAATATTTATCATTCGGTGACTCCAAAACGATACTTTCGTTTTGTTCACATTTTGACAATGGGTCGGTGGGTTTACCTGTCAAGTACACTTGTGCCTCTTGAATCGCAAATTTTAACAAAAACAAACTTCGTCTAAGGCTACATACGAAAAAGTGAACTACGAACTATCACGTAGAAAATAAAAACCAATACAAGCTCATTGCAATAAGTGCTAATATGCAAAGTGACTAGAAATTTTGTATCAACTACGAATAAACATTTTTTGATTACGTTCAATGGGCATGCTCTTTTTGTTCTTGATGCTTGTTACTGTTTCAGTCTCAATGTTCTGATCCTAATTTTTCACTATCGACTCTCATGTTTTCCATCAAAACTTAGATTCTCCTTGAAGAAAAGATAAAAAAGATATGACTGTGAGTCATTTAGCAAGTAGATAAATGGAATAAAAGGGATAACAAAAAGCTGAGTCTAACGATAATACAATTCAAAAATAGCACTCACTCAAATGCATAAAAAAAAAGTAAAGTATCTCAATAACGGTGCTTTTAACATTGAGCATACAAAGTTAATACATGCCAGGCAATGGCATTACTATATGGGTATATATATTAGGTGACAAAACAGAGTATGTGATGTCACATCGACCCAGTTTAGATGTAAAGAGATCTCTTCCTTGTGACTATGCGTGAAGAAATCAATGAATAGAGGAAAAAACAGACGACCGTTAAACAGAGCATGGATGATAATCGCTCCCCTCCTAAACATTATTACATTCATATGCCGAGTAGCCATATAATAATCAATATCTGACTGTACAAATCGAGTATTCTTGAGGAATGAACATTGCCATTTTTTTAAAATAGAAGCCATTTCGAGAAAGAGGAGGAGAGTGACTGTTAATGAACACTAATGATGATATCTAACAAAGAAAGACCTGACGATATGCGATTCAAGAAACGCTGATGAAAGTGAAGACCTTGGATACGACGGGAAACCGGATGAAGCAAATAAATATAAAAGTGAGAGAAGTTCAGCGCATGTGGGCCTGTCAATACAAGGTGTATGCGTATGGGTCCAAGTAGAGAGAGTGTGTCGCGTACCGAGCTGAACCAAGAGAGAATCCTGCAGGAATAGGAGGGGACAGGCCCCCTCGAATCTCTTCCGTCATCGTCAGCATCTGAGTTCCGTCGCCTTTTATCCACGCTCACCTAAACCACAACAAACTCACATAGTCACGCAGCAGAGTGTCGTACAACCGTTACTTTAAAATACTCTCCTCGGCGTCATCGCCCGAGACTGTCCTAAGGTTTTAACGTTTCTGACAGTTTGCGCGGTTGCGATTGCAGAGCCAAGAGAACTTTGCGACGAGGACACTAATCAATCAGGGCACTCGACCAACATGTATACGAAACCACCTTTTCCTTTGCTAATCCAGATACTATTCTAACTACTTCGTGTCTCGGATTAATCTCTCAATTCCATGCGGACTTGAATGCCAATCGATTTTCATGATTCTCGAGATGACAATGTTATGCAAAAGATACGTATTTTATTTGAAAATTAATTCTATCAAACGATGCATACCTCTGGCGGTTGTGGTTCGTTAGCTTGAGCCTCTTGGTCCGACTTGTCCTTCTTATCTTGTTGTTGTTGTTGCTGCTGCTGTTGTTCGATTTCCATGTTTTCTTTTAGTTGTTGCTTCTCCTCTTCTTCCTTTTCTTGCTGAGTAGGCTCACGTTTTTCCACGAGAGACGCCGAAGCGATAGTCAAGATTCCGTTCAAATTTACTCTCACCTTTACTTTAATCTTCGACGACTCGCCTTCCAATGTTGGTTTAACATTGTCTATGTGAAATTCACCTGGGGAAAGAGAAGCATCGCGATAAATACAGTGACAAAAGTTCAAAGTAACGGTTGATTGTGTGTAAGCTGAAAATATAGGTATGTTTAGTGTCATACCGATATGAGTCTGCGGATACGAAGGTGGTGGAATACTGTAACTAGCGGTTAGGGTAAATGGCTGAGAGCGATAGAAGGTAAGCATCTTCGAGAAAGGTACAGGATGATTCTGTCCAAAAACTTCCATCTCTCTGAAAAATACAAAAATCGAATTATTGGAAAGCCGCAAACAATAAATTATACTGATTATATTCCATCAGCAGATATCACAACTTACCCTTCCTCGCCCTGAGTAGCATCCCAAGTAAGTTTAAGCGGATACGGCTGTATGTCCGTTACTGAGAAATCGCGAACACGTACAGCAGGACTCAGCATCGCGCATTGCAAAGCACAACCGCGAGCCACAGATTCATCCTGATTCAAAGTCGTCGACGACGCTCGACCGAAAACTTCTTCTACCAAACGCTTTATAGCCGGGACTCGACTGGAGCCGCCAGCAATCTCAACAGAATGTATATCATCGAGTTTCAATTCTGTAAACATGCAATTCTCAATAAGCAGTTGTGTCTAGAAATACGTTTTATCCAGGATACCGGGACCCAAAGACGACTTACTGGAATCTGCGAGGCATTGCCTCAGAGTAGCTTCAACGCGCTTGAAGAGATGCGCGCACATAGATTCCATGTCGGCTCGTTTCAAATCTCCATGGACATCCTTTTCGTCTATGAAACATTCAATATTAAGAGGTAGGCTAGTAGAGTTAGCAGACATCTGTTTCTTCAGTTTTTCCACCTCGGCGAGGAGTCTCAGGTAGGCTCTGGGATTGTTGTGTGCATCGACCTTGTAACGGACCTGGAAATCCTTGCAGAAGTATTCCGCCAAGATGAAATCTATATCCCTGCCTCCCAATTGACTATCCGCAGCACTTGCTAGCATCTATTCAAATCATGTGACGGATTACAGCATATTCAATATCATTATATTAAAATGGTAATGTTTCATAGACTTTAATGGATTGATCCTACTGACCTTAAGTTTGCCCTTATGGAACGCGCAGATGCTCACTTGTAAGCTGGCATGACCGCAATCGACAAATACAACGTTACGCGGTGCGCCTTCCGGTGCAGGTAGATCCTGTTTGTAAATCCCGTAGCAGAGTGCGGTTGCGGTCGTTTCATTCAAAAGTCGCAGTACGTTCAGACCAGCTATGCGCGCTGCGTCGAGCAATGCTTGTCGTTCCACTTGAGTGAAATAACTAGGAACTGAGATGACGCAGTCATTCACTGCTGTTTGAAGGGCAGTTTCTGATATATCTTTTAATTTGGTGAACAACATTCCCGTTATTTGTTCTGGTGTAAACACATGTTCCTCTCCTAGATATTGTACCTTAAGAAAATATTAAAAAATAGATATGTCAGTAATTACGATGATTTGACCTTCTACTCATAGACTTTCCTTCTTTCTTTTAGCACTCCGTATATATCTTAAATGATTCACCAAGTACCAAGTATTCTAATGAGATATAAATAAAATCAGTGACTCCGGTAATGTGAGAAATCTGGCAAAATGCCCACCATCAAGTAGACTCACGGACATTATGTTGCAATTAAGCACAGAATGTCATTTTTATTAAAAAAAAAAAAATTTCATCAAACTTCATTGTCAGAGAACAGTAGAAAATTGAATGCTAATAGTGCAATAACACAAAGTTGATATTATCATAAACTAATGTCAACAAATCTCAGTAGATAAAAATTGTAATCAGATTATACAATGTAGAATATTTATAATTGTAGCAACTTCTTCCACTTAGTTGATTGCTAAATCTGAGTGTGAAACAAAGAAGAAAAAAAAAACCTTGTTTTAATTATCTGAGAGTAGGAAAATATATAGACTTGAAAATGTGTAATGTATGTTTCAAAATGGAATAGGAGTATGACACATAATGTGAGTTTTATAAATATTGTGGGAAGCAAACTTACATGTATTCCAATGCTTCCATCTGGTAGTTCAGATGTTTTGAATGGTAATGATTTAAGCTCTCGCTGAACATATGGATCATTGTATTTTCTCCCTAGGAGTCGTTTAAATCCAGAAATTGTGTTTTTCATATTTGTCACCATTTGGTTTTTTGCTGCTACTCCAAGAATACGATTTTTTCCACTGAATGCTATACATGATCTGTAAATTCAAAAATATATTAAAGTTATGATCACATATTTATTTTAACCTATTTAATTGTGCATTGATATCTCAAAGGATGTCAAAAGAATATCTAACTATTAAATTCTGTAGTGCTTGCGTTGCCTTTCCTTTGAGTATCCCTATCTTTCCTCTTGTGGTCATTATACACTTAAAGTGCTATGGATAAATCAATAGAGAAAGAAAGTATAGTACAAATTTAACCCATAATTTATTTAAGATCATAAAGCATTTAATTTGGGAAGATTATATTTTGAATATACTATATATATTGTAAGAGTTAACGTGCCATAAGGTTGATAGCCTTGAGTATGAATCATCTTAAAAACAAGGTACCCAAATATGGAAAAGTAGAAAAATATAGAACTACCACAGTTACCTAAGATATCTATTAAAAGATTTCAATACAAATTATCAAATATATTAATGGATTGACATATACTTATTACTTTATGTATATCTTCTTGAATTATAAGATGAATAAATAAAAAAGGCCCTTATAAATACATATAATTCTGGAGCACCCTCATGAAATATTTTATGGGCAACCAAAAAGCATGCATATAAGTGCATAAATTTTTAATCATACAGTTTACATTTTAATATACCAAAGGAACTACAATTAAAATGTAAAATACTAAATTTATCCACAAGTATTATTTAACCAGTTTGCAAAAGCTTTTCTAAATCCTATTTAACGATGAAAATTGACAAATCTTAGTTGTTATAGTGAAGATCAAATTAGATCATTCAAGAGAGAGATTAGATAAAAGAAAAAATTACATGAATTAAAGAATTTGACTAGCACATTATGAATAAAATACAATGACACTCAATTATATAGTACATCAGTAATACCCTTTTTTCTTTTTCTTTCTTACAAGGAACAGCGCGAGATATCTAAAGAAGTGTGAGGGACAAAAAAAAGTGAAAAGGAACGAAAGAATGAGAAAAACGAAATTAAAAGAGTGAGACAGAGAAAGACAAAAAAGGAAGCATGCGATAGAAAAATGCCCGGCTGATGATGATTTGCCGGTACAAGTGAAATTGTACAGTTCCTCAAGCACGATGGAATATTCCAGTACTTACGGTGTACTGCGAAGACTGTAATCATTCGCAATAGTTTCGATGCCACCAGCGCGTGCTACGGCGATATAGCAGCTTTCGTTTCCAAAGTCGATTCCAATCACGGACATCGCGGCCATGGTTGATGGGTCGCCTTGAAACCTCTTCCCGGATAATCCTTAATACTTTAGATGAAATCACACCTAAGTCGTATTTCCTCTAAGAAAATATCCAAATCAGACCCGTCGATTAGATTTTTCTCGGTGATAGTCACTAATGTACGTTCTGGAGCACTTTTGATAGTCTATTTACTCAATAAAGTCGCAAATGGTAGACACGAAGGAAAGCACCGTGACTTGGTGACTGCTTTCTGCTAAATGCTGCTGAAAACTGGCCAATCATGGCGACGCAGCGCCCTCTTCTCATTGGTCCTTCGACCGGCCTGGAATATTCTGGAAACGCATCCCATTGGTCCAACAGTACCCATATTTTCTCGAAAATTCGAATATTTTACGACCATTTGCATCACGATTTTTAACAATCCTCTCTTCGCTTTGCTGTCGAATCACGTTGAGACACATAAACGTTTCCCATAAAAATATTCATTCATCTATATAATACAGTAAATTTTATGACTATATATTAGATGTTCTTACGTACGTAAATCGTTTTCAATTAGTAGGCTTACCCATTGGGTTTTCAATACGCTAAATATAGAATGTTAGTCAGTAGAATATGAAACATGAATTTCATTTTATACAGGCATTTTTTGAGTAAAAAAACTGTTCAAAATGTACATCATGCAGAACTACTATTATGACATGTTTAAAACACTTTTTTTAATACGTATACATACTGTATACATACTGTTTGGAACATAAGTTTGAGTCCAATATCTCAGAAAAAGGATTCGGTGTTTTTGAGTATCTGCAATATATTGTTCGTTCGTATTAATGTTTGACACTACAAGTTCATTTATTACGTATTTATAACATTAATTAACCATGGTAAATGGTCCATTTGAATAGGGGATTGTTGGTTTAGATCATTTTGGTTACCATATCAACGGCGTCCAGTCGGAGCGCTATGGCCGTCTCTGAAAAATCGATTACACCGAGATGACCACTTTTAGAAGATAAACCGTCTTTAGTAATTCAAAACTGATTATCTAAATACTTGAAAAATGTCACAGTTGTGTAATTTAAAATTGTATCCCTTTGTAAAAAGTACAAAGGGTGTAGAGTACGTATTAAACAGTTTAACTTTTGGAAATAAGAATGGAAAAGTCCGGAATACGTTGCGTCAGAATGGAAGAGGTTATATGCACATTTTACCAAAATCTTATGATTATCAAAGTTGTCAACTCCATAAAATCATTGATAAGTATCTCTCAACTTTTCATGTGCCTTTGTGTACCATTAGAAAAGAAAGTTTTGATCGGAATAGGTATGATGATGGAAAAAGAGGTTATAGAAATTTAGGGCTAGTTTTGAGTGGTATTGGACTTGTTGTGGCTCTGTGCGATGCACCGAGTTTTACGAAAGGTAAAGTATATAATTGCTTATAATAATTGATGTATGCTAGTAATGAGTAGTTGATTTTACAGAAAAGCGGTTCTTTCGGGCTGCTCAGTATGGCAATATACCGGATCTTAAAAAGGTATTCTATCAGTTTGCCAATTTAGATCTCAGTTTTGCAATAATATTATTGTATTTCATTTATTTTTAATGTTATCTTCAGGCATTAGCTGATGGGGTTGATGTGAATGCAAGACATCCATTGGGATGGACGGCATTACAAACGGCAGCTATCAATGGCAAAGTTCAAGTGATTAAATTTTTACTAGAAAGAGGAGCAGATGTTAATGCAGGAGATCAATTTGTCAATGTATATAGAAGTGCCATGGACAAGGGATGGCACTCTTTGGATGGTATGGCTCTGATACGTCTTATGCATTTCATACTATGGATATTATTACATAGCGGAATCAATTCCTATATACAACATGATTTATTCGATTCATTTTAGTACTCATGTACAGAGAAGAAGAATTTTCTGATCGATTGAACAATAAAGCCACATATCAAGGCTTTACAGCTCTGCATTATGCAGTTTTGGCTGACTCAAAAGAATGTGTTAAAGCTTTATTAGATGCAGGAGCAGATCCTACCATCGAAAATGAAGCAGGCCATCGTGCTGTAGATTATGCTAGAGACGGCGAAATAAAGGAAATGTTAATAAAGCATGCCGTAAGGTACGACGAAATACAAAGGGAGAAGGTGAGTAATGCAACGTCCATTAGTTTTTGAAACTTTTATCAACTTTATTCAAAAGAAGCAATACGTATTTAGGAGGCAGAAGAGCGACGAAGGTTCCCACTGGAACAACGATTAAAACAACATATTGTAGGTCAGGAAGGAGCTATTTCAGTTGTAGCATCCAGTACGTTATTTAATTTGTAACAATTAATATTCAACTTTCTCATTTTCATCAATCTGAAAATAAAAATTCTTCAGCTATTCGCAGGAAAGAGAACGGCTGGGTTGATGAAGAGCACCCACTGGTATTTCTGTTTCTTGGATCATCCGGTATTGGCAAGACGGAGCTAGCAAAACAATTAGCAGGATATATCCATAAAAATAAGCCGGATGGATTTATTCGCCTCGACATGTCCGAGTATCAGGAGAAGCACGAAGTTGCCAAGTTAATTGGTGCACCTCCTGGGTATGTTTCTATATTTTCCTTAAATTCGCTGGTTATAACATTAATTATCTCATCATCCTTCATTCAGATACGTAGGTCATGACGATGGTGGTCAATTAACTAAACTCTTGAAGAAATCACCATCAGCCGTTGTACTCTTTGACGAAGTAGACAAAGCACATCCTGACGTATTAACAGTACTGTTACAATTATTCGATGAGGTATTTATCAATGTAATCCAATACATCAATTGAATGAATTATACGAATACGGTATTCCATTAATGATTCACAGGGTAGACTGACGGACGGTAAAGGAAAAACAATAGAATGTAAAAACGCAATTTTTATAATGACTTCCAACTTGGCAAGTGAAGAGATAGCACAACACGCAATGCAACTTCGCGCCGAAGCTGAAAGAGTTTTGTCTCAGAGGCTGGACAAGAATGACGATGGGGATCAGGAACCAGAACACATTGAAATATCTCGTAATTTTAAGGATCACGTGGTACATTGTCTACTTAATCTAAATAATGTTTTTCTGCATTTAGAAAAGTCTCTTTATAACGAATCGATCGACAGGTACGTCCAATACTGAAAGCTCATTTTCGAAGAGACGAATTTCTGGGCCGCATTAACGAGATTGTCTATTTCTTACCATTCTCACGTGCAGAATTAATAAAACTGGTAGCACGGGAATTAGAAGCTTGGGCTGCTCGAGCACGAGATAGACACATGGTGGAATTAAAGTGGGATAGAGAAGTCTTGTCAGCTTTAGCTGACGGATACGATCCCCATTACGGTGCACGTTCTATTAAGTACGAAGTCGAACGACGAGTAGTTAATCAATTAGCAGCAGCGCATGAACGTGGACAATTAGGTACGTAGAGATGAAAATAAAGTGATTATTACGTAAACGAAAAAAGGAAAATAAATCTTTCAGGAAAAGGAAGCTGCGTGCAACTAAAGGCAAAGTGGCATGAAAACGGAGTGAGTATCGGGCTTTCCGTACGACCACCAGGAGTGAAAGATTTTGTGGAAATTACGAATAATGATTACCTAATAAAAAAGGTCGATTCCACGTTCTGACTGGATCTGGTTACCCGACAGTAAAACTTCCAATGCAGAGAAAACATGGCGCGCGTTACAGCGTAACGTGAGAGGCCGGACCTGAACACGTGTTAAATCATTAATGTTAGGAATGACAAGTTTATAGAGGATGTATATTCAGACTTATATATACGAAGCAGGTTGAAGAGATTTGAAGAGCTTTTTTTTTCATTAGATACAATCTACTAGTACAGATTGCGAATCGCTACACGTTGTGTATTTTAACTGTAAGAGAAATAGTCAAGAGATCTTGCAAGAGAAGCTCGTTGTTCGAAGTTGTAAATATCCTTGAGTAACGATAATGCAAATCGTTGATGATAATAAAAAAAGGAAAAACTTGTCATTGTAATTCTACAAGTATCATTATCCAAAAAACTCTTCATTTATCTCCACAGCTCGTGTCTCCGAAGAAAACGATGTCCTTTACTTTCTTGATGTAAATAAGTTTATCTTTATTTTGAAACAAAATCACAGAAATACATGACAAGAAAATATCGGTTTGCACATCACATTTAGGACACATTATTTATTTCTTATGACCTACGAAAATTGGAGGCCGATTTTTAAGCCGTTTCACGAGGAGCAGCTTTTAACGCAATTTTACGAAAATCATTTCCCTATAACATCATCTTTTTTCCTTTGACAATCAATCGCGACAATTCAGACTTCCATATTTTTTGCGTTAATACAAATCCCCTGCCTTGCGGCTTGTACGCTGCCCAGATTTTTCTTATTCTCTATTTCAGACATGCCGGAAGTAATCGGCTCCTTGATTATTTGTACGACGGTATTTATATAGGGTCATTTAGGCCAAACGCATTGATTGAAAGTAAGCCTGTCCATGTAAATTCTATGGTAGAAACCACATTCAGCTGTTACGTTTGATACTGAATAACCCATGTATTACATGTAATACATAAATATGCTATACTGGGTGTATATACTGGGTGTCCCAAAAACAAAAAAATTAGCAAAGTCAGTTTAATACATAAAATATTGAAAATCCATACTATATCTGTTTTGCAGATATTTTTTTCGCAACATCCATATATAAGGATGTGCTGTACAGATGTATATACTATATAGTTTATATATATATATATATATCATTTTTAATATAAATACACCTTTTATATACTGTATTGTAGATATGCATATATAGAAATACTGTAGGTATAATATTAAGCGTACGATTCGGACAATATGCTGCTTTTGATAGCGGGCATCTCTCTCTGTTTCTCTCTCTCACCCCCCCCCCCCCCCCCCCCCCCCCCCCCCCCCCCCCCCCCCCCCCCCCCCCCCCCCCCCCCCCCCCCCCCCCCCCCCCCCCCCCCCCCCC